GGAGAAGAAATGGACATTATTAATAGGAAGGATGTCAAAGTACTCTGTTTATTAAAGTTAAGGATGGTGTTTTTTAGTCTTTTGTCTCAGAATCTGTAAAGAAGGTGGTATGGGAACCAAAATATCTGGCTTTAGAAATGAGTCTCATCATTAAGTATCTCAAAGCATGTTCATATTTGAATAGCTTTGGGTTCCACAGATGCAACATTTAATACCACTAATCACAAGTCAACCCAGAGATCATTATTGATTTGTGTATTTGCTGATGCAAAACTTTCACTTGTGTACCTCATGGGGAAGGTGTGTAGAGATGTTATTTAACTAAAGATTGAGTTTAGTGAACCATGTAGCACATTTATTTCAACACAGGATATTTTATGTGTAATGACCCTCACAAACTGACAAAAACAGAGAGAAAATATTGGAGATGTTAAATGATCACTAATGTGGTGTGAATACATATAAAAGGAAAGGAGGCTTCCAGGGAAAGTGAAACATGAAAAACATGAAGGGGTACAAATACTTAAAAATGTATACAGGTGAGATTTTTGAAGCCTAGAACAGTTTTGTGTCTCAACCATTTTTTTTTTCAGCTTTGATACCTGAAAATGGACAGTTTGGGAAGAGAGGAGATTTTCTTTCCACAGGACTAGGCTAGGTAAGTAATCTCAGAGGGCCTAAAATGTTACCATTAAATTTAAGGTATTTTCAATCTACCTGTTCCCTGTCTCATGTCCAGTGAGATTAGTTTTAGGTGTATTTGGGGGTGTGACACTATCTGAAATTAATGAAATTATACAGGAATATTTCTTCTGATGTTCCTAAGGTACGCAGTTCTTTTAGAGCAGTGGTTCTCAAGGTGTGGTCTTTGCATCGGTGGAATCACTATCACCTTCAAGTGTGTTAGAAATGCATATTCTCAGCCCCAGCCTCCAGATCTACTTCATCAGAAATTCTGGGAAGTTCCCACCAATCTAAAACTTAACAAACCCTCTAAGTGTTGCTGTGAAGCATGCTGCATTTTCTCCTCAATATGCTTAATAAAGGGAACTAAGAACTTTAAAGTGATGCTGGTCTAAGAAGCCCATCAAAATCCTAAGGAAGTAAAGCTAAAGACTGAATGCTAAGAAAAAGGACAACTGAAGAAAATGGGCAGGAAGGATCTAAAATAAAAGCTGAAAGAGTCCACCACAAGGGTAACAGGCAAGAAGTGGAAGCAGTTGTTAGACTCTGGGCAATAGCCCTAGGGCCAAAGTAAGCCTTGTGACAGATAGGGAGCAGCAGCATCATAGTTGGTTGTCATCATCATCATATCACCACCACCATCATCATCACCATCACCACCATCATCACCATCACCACCATCACCACCATTATCATCTTATTGGGTGAAAACACATGATATTCAGACACTGGACTAAGGGCTTACATAGATTATCTAGTTTAACCCCTACAATAAATTTGGGAGGATTTAAAATTTGAATTTTATCTGTTTTATATATGACAAAACTGAGCCTTAAAGAAATTAAGCAGTTTACCACCAAATTTATTTAAGTAGTGAAGAAAGAAAACTGAAATTTGAAGCAGGCAGTGTGACTTCAAGGCCCACGTTCTCAACTGCTATTCTTTCCTGATATCTCATAGCATCTTGGAGCTAAAGGTGGCTTCACCATTAGGCAAGAAAAAAAGAATACAGTATTTATTTAATGACTAGTTAAATGGGATGAACAGAAACTGTGAAGGGTGAGGAAAGTAGAATTTGAAAAATTCAAAAGACTCATATTTTGAAGGAAGGTGCTGTGGGGTTGGAAGGAAGAAGGATGGCAGCCATTCTTAGAAACAGCATCTTTGATATGGTGAAAACACATGGTTGAAGCATGAGTAGGAAGCAGTATGAACAAAACAGGATGATCACTGATATAATCATAAGGTTTAATGTCCTAAGGGGCAGTGGATCAGCCAACTGGTGCTAGATATAAAATGCCAACATCCACATAATTGTCAAAAAAAATCCCCCTTCATGACTTAGGCTCAAGGAGGAGAAGATCCTTTCTTCACCTCTCTTACAAGTACAGGATTTGTTGCTCATTTTTTCTTCCATAGCAATGTGATTAAAAAAAAATACAATAGTATCTTGAATCACACAGATATGGGTTTGAAACCCTATCCTAGGCCAACAGGCAGCCTTGGGCAGGCTCCTTATTGTCTCTGAACTTTAAGCTTTTGTCTATTTATAATAAAGTTATTAATACCTAAATAATAATATTATTAGAATCAATGGGAAAATGAACTGTAGGGGTTCAGAAAGAGTTGCCCCAAGATTTGTACTTTTGGCATGCAGATTATTTAGAGCTAAAAATAATCAAGGCCCAAAGACTCAGGAAGAAATGTTGACCTTCCCCCTAACTGCTTAAAAGAATTTAGATAGAGGACCTGCTCCAGCAAGAGAGTTATCACCATAAATAACTACATTATAATATGAACCAGGGGCAGTAGATAAGGAGGACCCTTGCTAGCACTGTTTAATCAAAGTCCTCCCTATGTCCCCTTGTTTCTGGATGGCTCAGCAACATTTGCTTCCCAAACATTTACTCTTCTTCATTTTTCTGTGAATTGCTTTCCTTTTCCTTTGAAGTCCCAGACCAGCAGCCTTTTCTCTTTAGTTCAGGGTGATATATATACCTCATTTTGCCTGTTTTTGGAATCTCATGTCTATGTGGATCCCCATATATATGAAATTAAATGTGATTTTTCTCCTATTAATCTATTTTATGTCAATTCAATTCTTAGACCAGTTAGAAGAAACTTGAAGGCTTTGCAACAGAATAAACAGTACCTGGTACTTAGTAGTTTCTTCTCCATCACTTAATATTCATTTATTGAATTTCACTTAATATGAAGTTATTAAATTTAACTTCATGTTAGTTAAATTTAAGTTAATTTCACTTGCGCCAACATGGCATGAAAATATATGCAAGTATGATCTAACTTATTTCTAGCTCTAACCCTCTCAGGATTAGTACATTTAGTTCATAACTAAAATGTACATAGATAAATAAGAAAAAAAAGGGGAGAGGGCTTGGGGCATCTTGTGCTAAGAGCTGACTTAAATATAAATATGGTAGTTTTTAAAGTCATAACAACAAATTTCCCTTCCAGTAGAAAATGCTTCAGATTTGAATCTTGGTCTGCTTGGCTCCAAACTACTCACTCCTTCAACTCTTCATGTGACCTTGAGCATGTAACCTAAATTTAATGAACTTCTGTTTCCTCACCTAGAAACAGGTTGCTTCTCCCTCTGCCCTTCACCCTGCTGGTGCTCCCTCTCTCACTCTCACTCTCTCTCAAATAAATAAATAAAACCTTAAAAAAAAAGAGAATTCTCATTCTTGTTAAAAAAAATTGTGTAGGAATCTATAATATAATATGGAGCTGGTCATTAGATAAAGGGCTTTAAGAAAACTAGTTACCTCCCCTCCTTCTGCCATTGCATGGGATAGAACTTCTTTTGTTTTGAGGAAGGTGTGTGTGTGTATGTGTGTGAGAGAGAGAGAGAGAGAGAGAAAGAGAGAGAGAATGTATGTCGTACTTGTGTTTTTGAGGGAGCTGGTACATTAACCCAATTGCATATTTATACATCTCTGGTTATGTTTATACATTTATAATGGACTGCCTGAGATCCAACCCCTTAAGTATCATGTTATGGAGCTCTACCACTCTGTACTCAACTACAAGGAAAACATTCTATGTCTGGACTGTGACTGGAACTTTGCAAGTCAGTAGACATGCCTTTAACATGCAATAAAATGAAGCTGTCAGCCATTGCAAATGGACCGAATTAGAGGTCACATGACTAAACCACCTCTGGACCGGGCAGTCTCTGATGTATTTTACTCCAGTTTCAATCTATTAATCATAGGAGTTGGGAGAGCAATAATTTAAATGCTGCAATAATCAATTCCATAACACATTAATAAAAGCTACAGTCAAACTTTCCCATACCACTGACTGCATTGGAATCCTGACAGGAGCCCTAAGACCATGCCTAATTTCCATTAAATTTACATAAAACTGTAAATCAAGAATACATGAAAACAGCCCTAATATTTGTTAGTGTTTAGATCTTTCCTGATAGATGGATTGATACTGCTTGTGGTTTAACTTCCCTTGCAATAAAATTGTGCAGCTGATCAGCTTTGTTCTCATCCTGCAATTATGGGGGAAGGGACTCATGAGAGCTATAGTTTGGGGCATGCGTATGCCACTTAGGGTTTTCATCCTATAAAACCATGACTCAGATGTGACCTTGGGAACCCCAATCTAGAAGCAGATTGTCCCCAATGACTTTGCAGATCTTGGTCACTGGATTTGCTCACAAATAACGTACCATTAAATGGAGATACAATTTAAAAAGAAAGCTGGCAATGACTCATGGAACACTACATCAAGAACCAATGATGTAATGTATGGTGATTAACATAACATAATAAAATAAAATTAAAAAAAAAAAAAGAAAACTGGCCAGCTGAGAGGATGTCAAGGCCTCTGGAAATTTTATTTTTTCCAAATAACACTTACTATCATAAAAACAGATAATTAGTAACATTCTTTATGCTGAAGATAAAAATCAAGCCTTCAGCAAAGCATCCAGTACCTAACAGCGGATAAAGTGCACCTCACATGGTTCTAAGCATTCTGTGTGTTCTTGTTACCTTGTTCCAACCTCTTCAATAGATAGGGGCTTTGCTATGTGCTTTTATATTCAGGGCTAAGAGAGAATATTCTCATCAAGGGTACTGGCTCACAGTGGCACTTTTTATATTCTCCTTAGTCCTCTTATTTTAAGTCTATCCTTTCCGAGAGAAAATAGACATTCAAATGCAATAATGCATTTGAAAGGTTTTTTTTTCCTTCAGAAAGGATTTTGCAAATATTTTGTACATGTTTATTTTCTGCTTCTCACCTCTCCCTTACCACCCATCTATCCCACCTTTTCTTACCTTGCACGATCAAGTAAACTTGGGAGGTCTTGGGCTCATGCTGTGTCTGAACTGAGCAAGTATAGGAACCCTCATCATAGACATCCACCTTCTGGATTCGGAGGCTGTATTCCAGAGAATGGCGTTTCTCCAGCTCAACCCGAGGGTCCAGAGACCACTTGTCATGCCCAGCAAAAATGATGCCAGAACGGTTCAACCAGGCCACCTTCGAGTTCTTGTCTTCTACAACGCACCTGGCAGAGCAGAATAACAACATTAGAACCTCAGCCCTACCTGCATCTGCATTCATTCTCCACATGATTGGCCTCAACAAGACCAATCAAGAACAATAATTATATGCAGGATGAATAATTGCCATGCCATTTTTTAGAGTCCTAAGTATTGTCACTATTTCTCCTAAGACTAATTACCATCCAATGGATGGATGTCATTATATTAGACTCAATTTGGCAATAAACAATCAGTATGAAAAATGCAGGCAAATAAAATTAAATAGGTATTGACTTCTCACTGGATTATCTTCTTCTTGTCTAGGAAAAGGTCATTCACACAGAACTCCATTGGTTTAAGTACCTGAGAATTTGACAAGTGATAATGTGGCACATTTAATGAGTTTTGAATTGTATTAATTCTTCCACAAGTATTTCCTAAAGTCCTATGTGATGGTAGATACAATTTATGCCCCAATGCTATAGGAATTAGACCAGATTTCAGAGTTTGCTTCAGGTTCTTAGAAGTTTGGAATGCCTTCTCCCAGGAGTGACAAGTGTGTGAATAGATACAAAGCTAAGTAGACAGGTGTTATGTCAAGGAAGTCAGAGCCAGCATCATCGTGCCTAAGTCTGGTTCCAGCTGCTGAGGGCAGTATGATGTCTGCTGGCAAGATGGCTTACAACCAGCATTTCTGGCGCATCAGAATGAATTCAATATTTTATGGGAGATGAAGTAACCAATTTCATAGTTCGTATTCCAAGAAAGATGAAGGAAAAATGTTTATTTGAATGACTACTTATTTTAAAAACCTAAAAGGATCTCTTTCTGAAACTTGCAAGAAAGAGGCAAAGAATACGGATTAATGGGGAAGGGGTAGCTACTTCGTGGTGAAGGCAGTTTTCTCCTTCAATTACACTGAGAATCTGGAAATGGAAAAATCGAGCAAAAAACAAACAAACAAACTTCTCTCTGTATCCCTTTGGCAAGATTTATGTCTGCCCCACAGGGAGATTGTCCCAGACCCTGTTCACAACTGTAGAGCCATCTGCTCAGCACTCTGGGGCATGAGGGATGGGGAGAAGAAGCCAGGAGCATGACAGCAGAACAATTAAAATACCATGTTCTGGATTCTCCAAATTAAGTCAAATCCAGGTTTTCTCTCCAGTCAGAAAAGTCATAGAGATTCTGCACCCACGCATAGACAGGAAATTAATGCATTATCTACAGGCTGTCTACAGTAGGTATACAGAGGCTAACTCAGTCTTAAAAGGAGAAAAGCTGAATCCTTTTAAAATACCTCACCTATGGTTCAAAAGACCTCCTAACCCCATTATTTTTAAGTGAACTGAATATTTTTTTCATTTATTTGAGAGAGAGAGAGAGAGCACACATGAGAGGGGGAGGGTCAGAGGGAGAAGCAGACTCCCCGCTGAGCAGGGATCCCGATGCGGGACTTGATCCTGGGACTCCAGGATCATGACCTGAGCCGAAGGCAGTCTCTTAACCAACTGAGCCACCCAGGCGCCCGTGAACTGAATATTTTATTTAACATGAGAACTTATTTAATTACTTGAGTGCCATGATCCGCAGGTCTCTCTTCTCTACCTATTTATTTTCAAGAACATAAGTAGATGAAGTCATCATTTAGTGTCTCTATTAGTCCATATGCGTTTCTCTGCCATGGAGATATTGTTGGGATTAATTATATGTTTGATAATTTAGAACTTCTCCACGGGGGAGTACAAAGCTAACTTCATGGATGCTTGCTGCTTCTTTCCAGACTTGATTTGACTTTTCCTGTTTTATTATTTTGTGGCATTGTTTCTCTGTCCTTCATGATATTTGTGGCCCTTCTCAACTGAGAATCATTTAGGAGTTAATAGGCTGTTTGCTGCTTTCTAGAACATAAACCAAGTCACTGATGTAGATTTACTGTGTTTTTCTTTTCTACAGAGAAGAATGAAAATTTGCCTCTACAAATGCATTTTAAATCTTCTATCATGTATCTCCTTGCACTTTTCTCCTCTATGCAGTTCAACACAGCAGCAAACAGATATGCTGCATCATAGAGATGTATTCTGAATAATGTCTAGCCAAAAATATGCCCCTAATATGTTCATTTTGGAAAAAAATACTATATAATCTATTTTACATTAATATGGCTTACAAATCAATTAAAGACAGATATTTTGTTCTCTTCATTTCGGTACCTCCAAAAATTAATCTTATGGAAAATAGGTACTTAGTAAATGCCTGCTGCAAAACTGACAGTGTCATCCTAACAGAGAAGAGGATATATGGTTACCTATTTCCCACTTCCCCATCCCAAACCCTACAACATCAACTAATGAACCGGACAAATTTCCTTATCAGCACGAGGTAGAGTTTCTAAGTCAGGTGTTTAGGGTCCTTTGGACATTTTAGCAATTTTTTGTCCATGGAAAAGTTAAACTTATCACATAGATCATTATTCCAAATTATTCTCAGAGAGTGTTCAGATTTATCTTACCTAAAGACATAATTGACTATTTCAGCAAAATTGCCAGACCCACAAAAATGTAACTACTGAAACAATACATTATGTGGAAATTTTGCTATGACAATCTACATAACATCTTATTCTTACATTGTGTTTTGTCTTATATTTATTTTTAAAATTTATCTTTTACTTACAAATAAATGAAAGGCATATTAGAATATATACACATACATATACACTCACACTTTTTACTTAGTATGGTTAGCCAAGTAGCTAAGCAGAGCACAATGTGGTACTTTTCTTTTTTTAATTTTTACTTTAAGTAACCTCTGCACCCAACATGGAGCTTGAGCTCAAAACCCTGAGATCAAGAGTCACATGCTCTACTGACTGAGCCAGCCAGGTGCCCCAACAATGTAGTATTTTTAAAAGGATAAGCACTCCTTCAGATAGTTAAGGGTTCTTTTTTCTGTAGTCAGTAGTTCCAAAGTAAATATATTGACTCTATAAACTAGAAAATAATCTTTCCACAACATGACTAAAACTTTCATACTGAAAAATGGCAAAAATAATACAGTTTCAGAACTAATTTAATTTTTTAAAATTTTGATATCTTGATTTAAGGTGGCAACTATTTCAAGCCATAAGAAGTGCACATAAGTAAAAGATGGTAAGAGTCGGGGTGCCTGGGTGGCTCAGTTGTTAAGCGACTGCCTTCGGCTCAGGTCATGATCCCAGGGTCCTGGGATCGAGCCCCGCATCGGGCTCCCTGCTTGGCGGGAAGCCTGCTTCTCCCTCTCCCACTCCTCCTGCTTGTGTTCCCTCTCTCGCTGTGTGTCTCTCTGTTAATCAAATAAATAATATCTTTAAAAAAAAAAAGATGGTAAGAGTCAAAATAATCTCAATTTGTAGAGCTTATGGTTGTTCAATGAAAACAACCAGTCACACAGGGTAGTCACAGAACACCTAGTTATTCAAAAATGAGGAAATGCTGATTTAATGCAGACCCAGGTTCCCAGAATGCACTGACTGACCAGCAAGCATCATGAGCTTTCATCTAGGAGGTAAGTTGGCTTAATTTTGAGGTAGGCATTCCGGTAGAGTAAATGAGTATTCTCATGCCATGCCATCATAATATAATAATGAATTACCCCCTATTCAGAATGCTGCTTCAATACCAGACAATCCAGTTCAGAACTGGATACCTAATGACTTTATTTTCAATATCAGCTGTGGCTAAAGCTGGAAAAGTGTGAAGAGATGTATTTTATTAATAAAATATTTTATTTTTCTATTTAAATTCAATTTAGTTAACATATAGTATTATTAGTTTCAGGGGTAGAATTTAGTGATTCATTAGTTGCATATAACACACTGTGGTCCTTACATCAAGTGCCTTCTTTAATGCCCATCACCCAGTTACCCCATCACCCCACTCACCTCCCCTCCAGCAACCCTCTGTTTGTTTCCTAGAGTTAAGTCTCTTATGGTTTGCATCTCTCTCTGTTTTTATCTTATTTTATTTTTCCTTTCCTTCCCCTATGTTCATCTGTTTTGTTCCTTAAATTCCACATATGAGTGCAATCATATGGTATTTTTCTTTCCCTGACTAACTTATTTCACTTAGCATAATACCCTCTAGTTCCATCCATGTCATTGCAAATGGCAAGATTTCATTCTTTTTGATGGCTGAGTGATATTCCAGTGTGTGTGTGTGTGTGTGTGTGTGTGTGTGTGTGTGTGTGTATGTGGGCTATATATATGTGTGTGCTATATAGCACATCTTTTTTATCCATTCATCTGTCAATGGACATCTGGGCTCTTTCCATATTTTAGCTATTGTGGACATTGCTGTTATAAACATTGGGGTACATGTGCCCCTTCAAATTACTATGTTTATATCCTTTGGATAAATACCTAGTAGTTCAATTGCTGGGTTGCAGGGTAGTTCTATTTTTAACTTTCTGAGGAAAATCCATACTGTTTTCCACAGTGGCTGCCCCAGTTTGCATTCCCACCAACAGTGTAAGAGGGTTAGCCCTTTCTCTGTATCCTCACCAACATTTGTTTCCTGAGTTGTTAATTTTAGCTATTCTGACCAGTATGAGATGGTGAGATGTATTTTAAAAATCTGTAAGTGTTATGTGTTGTTTAGATTTAATAGAACGTTTTCTCCAGGAGCTCACGACATTGCAAATCATTCCTGGATTTAGAAAGGACTGTTCCTTAAAGAGAGTGGGTGTTGGTGCCAAGAAGAGAGGAAGAGAATGTCCTACTTCAGGTGGGATTTTCTGGCAGGCAGCTGAGAACATGGGGTTACTGTTCTCTAGGAAATCACCTATTATTAGTATACCATTCCTTTTCATGGATCTTTCTTATGACCTCATCATACTCTATATCGCAATAGCATTATCTGTATTTACCTTTCCTCATAAGCTTATTAACGACAGTGGCCTTCCTGGATTTTACCTATGGAGCCCTAACAGGGCCTAACAGCACACAACCACCATGTACACAGTAGGCACTCACTGAGATGTAGAA